ACAACTATATCGTTCTGAAGGGTTGAGACACATGAACAATATATCGTTCTGAAGGGTTGAGACACATGAACAATATATCGTTCTGAAGGTTGACATACACGAACAATATATCGTTCTGGAAGGGTTGAGATACACGAACAATATATCGTTCTGGTAGGGTTGACATACACGAACAATATATCGTTCTGGAAGGGTTGAGATACACAAACAATATATCGTTCTGGAAGGGTTGAGATACACGAACAATATATCGTTCTGGAAGGGTTGAGATACACGAACAATATATCGTTCTGGAAGGGTTGAGATACAGAACTCTGACCTTAATGGTATAGAATATCTTTGGAACTACCCAGATGGATTTCAACTGACCAAGCTTTAAACAACAATAGAGACAAACTGTTACTTTACTTCACAGTAAATCAGTTATTTTGCCATGTCCTATCTTATTATCCTATTTTACTTCACAGTAAATCAGTTATCCTGCCATATCCTATCCTACTTTGTACCATTATGTGTCAAATTTCATCTCCTATATCCAAATTCTGTCCCTGTTCTTCCTTACTAGAAGTATAACGCGATGAAAATGAACGACTTGGGCAACCCACTTAAAGATTGTATGTTTTAGCATTGTTGTAAGCCTACGTCATTATTTTAAAGTAATGAACGTTCAGACTGTGTTACGTAACGTACACGTGCATTACAGTCATAGAGGTAGGATTTGGACACGTCGAGCCACAGTGACCACTAAGACCCTCTTCTATAAGTTCTTGTTGAGCAACTTTATGATGATCTCATGTTTTCATTTCCTATAAGCGGGATCGAGCCCAGAATCTCACGCTCAGATGAAGGGTTAACTGTTTAGCTTTGGTAGTAAACACCAATCACATTTTAAAGGGCAGTGTATTTATTAGGAAGGCTATAAAATGAACTCTAGTGAATTGTCGCACATATCGTGCTATTTGACATTGTATTTTTGTTTTACATTCTATGTTACCTAATAACTTTGTCATGACAAAGGAAAGGGTTAAGGAAATGTTTACTATTCACTAGCTGATTCAGGACTTCAGTTCATATAAAACCAGATTAATTCAAATATTAAAAAACAAACGGAGTTGCTTTAAGATAGATAAGTTATAAACCAAAGTACCGTACGTCTTAAAGTGCAAATTTAGTGTTATAAACCAAAGTACTGTAGTTCTTAAGATGTAGGCTTGGTGTTTGTAATATTAGCTTACTCTACTAATTAAGTGCAGTACATTGGTTTGTAACACTAAGCCTACTCTACTCAAGAAGTACAGTACTTCGATATGTAACACTAAGCCTACTCTACTCAAGAAGTACAGTACTTCGATATGTAACACTAAGCCTATTCTACTAATTAAGTGCAGTACTTCGATATGTAACACTAGGTCTATTCTACTAATTAAGTGCAGTACTTCGATATGTAACACTAAGCCTATTCTACTAATTAAGTGCAGAACTTCGATATGTAACACTAAGCCTATTCTACTAATTAAGTGCAGTACTTCGATATGTAACACTAGGTCTATTCTACCAATTAAGTGCAGTACTTCGATATGTAACACTAGGCCTATTCTAGTAATTAAGTGCAGAACTTCGATATGTAACACTAGGCCTATTCTACTAATTAAGTGCAGAACTTCGATATGTAACACTAAGCCTATTCTACTAATTAAGTGCAGTACTTCGATATGTAACACTAAGCCTACTCTACTCAAGAAGTACAGTACTTCGATATGTAACACTAAGCCTATTCTACTAATTAAGTACAGTACTTCGATATGTAACACTAAGCCTATTCTACTAATTAAATGCAGTACTTCGATATGTAACACTAGGCTTATTCTACTAATTAAGTGCAGTACTTCGATATGTAACATTAGGTCTATTCTACTAATTAAGTGCAGTACTTCGATATGTAACACTAGGTCTATTCTACTAATTAAGTGCAGTACTTCGATATGTAACACTAGGCCTATTCTACTAATTAAGTACATCGCTTCGACTGTAACTATTCTTATATAACCCTTCAGTTACTTGTCTAAGTTATTGTTATGTTTTGAAAACTTATATTAAACGTCAGTTTAACTAAACATTAAAAAATCAAAGTTTCTTTTTTATTATTATTGTGTCGACTTTCCAGAAAGATTGGAACTATAATGATGAGAAGAAGATTTTAACGTTCCAAACTAAAGTGTCTTGGAACGAGAGTTCAGTATCCCATTACGTCAGTTCTCATTTTGAGGGTTTGGATCCAATGGTCTCGGGTTCGATACTTGATGTTACCAAACACGCTTTACACTTTCTGTTATGATGTGTTTATAAGTCAGTCCCACTATTCAGCTGTAGAAGTAAGAAGATTAGGTGCTTCAAGCAGCCAGTCCTACTGTCAGTCCCACTATTCAGCTATAGAAGTAAAAAGATTAGGTGCATCAAGCAGCCAGTTCTACTGTCAGTCCCACTATTCAGCTGTTAATCTTCTTACTTCTGGGTGCTTCAAGCAAACAGTTCTGCTGTCAGTCCCACTATTCAGCTGTAGAAGTAAGAAGATTAGGTGCTTCAAGCAGCCAGTTCTGCTGTCAGTCCCACTATTCAGCTGTAGAAGTAAGAAGATTAGGTGCTTCAAGGAGCCAGTTCTACTGTCAGTCCCACTATTCAGCTGTAGAAGTAAGAAGATTAGGTGCTTCAAGCAGTCAGTTCTGCTGTCAGTCCCACTATTCAGCTGTGGAAGTAAGAAGATTAGGTGCTTCAAGCAGCCAGTTCTGCTGTCAGTCCCACTATTCAGCTGTGGAAGTAAGAAGATTAGGTGCTTCAAGCAGCCAGTTTTGCTGTCAGTTCTACTATTCAGCTGTGGAAGTAAGAAGATTAGGTGCTTCAAGCAGCCAGTTTTGCTGTCAGTTC